GCGCGGCGCCGCCCGGCTTCCGGAGGAGGAGGGGCTTCTTTAGAGGACCGTATCTCCCGCCATGCAATGCACCCTTGCCTCGGTCTTTTCCGGTTAAGACCAGCCGAGAACATACAAGACCCACAAGGCATTGCGGGGCTGGCGAAATTCCTCGTGGTTGCGGGGTTTTCCTAGCGTCTTGCGGCTTCGCGTTTTCTGATCCTTTTTTTCTTATCTTTGAAGTTCCTTTTCTCGTATATGCCTATTACGTCAGATAAAAACCATAAGCTGTTCACTGTAGTAGAAAAAGCATTGGATTTCCTCAGCTGTTCTCCCTACATGCGTAACCCTGAGCAAGTCGCGTAGCTTCTGAGCCTGGGATCTATTATTAGTAAAATCTTGTTTGCCCTCAAGTGATAAATGTTCCTTTCATCTCCTTGCTCTAAGAAATCTGGCTCTCCCCTACGCATACACCTTTCCCCTGCAGCCCTGTCAATTGATGACTGCTTTCTCCTCCACCCATATACAGCAGAACCTGGAAATGGGGTGGATAGCCTACTTATTTCTCATTAACACTTTAGGCAATTATTACATCACTAAAACCACCAGCTCATTTGATAAGTATGCTGTCACCCACAAGTCTTCCTTGTGGAGGTCAAGTGTAAGATCTCCAGGTTGCTGGACCTCATTCTGAGATTTAGCCCTTAATTCTCTGTCTCTCCCAACATTACTCCTGGAATAATTTTCGATGATTTCAATATCCATGTAGGTAATCTTTCCAAGGCTCTGGCCTCTCAGTTCCTCGAACTCTTCTCAGCACCCTGGCCGCTTTCTGTCTTTGCCAGATTTATCTGGCAGAATTCAAATGGCTATTATATCAATTCTCTGCCTACTCCGTACCTGCAGCTTAACAGCTAAATGCAATTATGACGCCTGGCATTAACCAAAATTCATGACAACTGAAGTAGACTCTTAGGCCTGCCCTCTCCATGCTACGATTTCCCCCAAATCTCACTCTCCATACAATTACATGTATATTCTTCCCTCCTTTAAACTTGCAACACCCCCTTCTTCCTCCTCACTCTCAATGATGTCCTTTGTTCTTAATTGATAGATGCTTCCAAAAAAGAACCTCTATCAACAGTTTACCAACCTGCCTATATCTTTGCCCATATAGTCTTCCTTGTCTTTCGTTAATCCGGGTGAATCAGGGTGTGCCTACCTAAGACCAGTCCTCTCACACATTCGATGGACTGTATTCCCTTTCTCACACACAAGGAGTTTGCTCCAGCATTTTCTCTACTCTCTCCTGCAGCATCATCAGTTCTTCCTATCAGTAATAAACATGATGTAATATCTTCCATCATTAAAAAAAAAAAATCCTTTGACCCCAATGCCTTTCTAGCTATCAGTCCATTTCTCTTCATAGCAAAACTTCTCCAAAAAGTTATCTATATCCACCTTACTGCTAGTGGTAACTTTCCAAAGCCACTTGAATCAATTAGCATTCTTTGGTTGCAAGCAGCAAAACTGACTCTGAAGGAGTTTTATCGGATGGTCCTGAATAGCATCAGTAAAGAACGGAAAGGCCAGATAATAAGGCTCAGGAAACAGCAGGCCCATGTGCCACTCCACTCAAGATTTATACCCCAGGCACTCCAATTTACTTTTTAAAAATAGCTTAATGTATCATTATAAGTGAACATCATCATAACTGTCACCCAGAACAAAAAGTAAAAGTTCTCCATCCATTCCAGAAACCTCTCTTTTCCCGAAAGATAACCACCATCCTCACTTTTATAATAATAACTTCAGGGACTTCCCTGGTGGCACAGTGGTTAAGAATCTGCCTGCCAATGAAGAGGACACGGGTTTGATCCCTGGTCCAGGAAGATCCCACATGCCGCAGAGCAATGAAGCCCGTGTGCCAAAACTACTGAGCCTGAGCTCTAGAGCCCGCAAGCCACAACTACTGAGCCCGCGTGCCACAACTACTGAAGCCCGTGCGCCTAGAGCTCATGCTCCACAACAAATGAAGCCACCGCAATGAGAAGCCCGCATGCTGCAATGAAGAGTAGCCCCTACTCACTGCAGCTAGAGAAAGCCCATGCACAGCAATGAAGACCCAACACAGCCAAAAATTAATAAATAAATTTATATTTAAAAGATAATAGTAACAACTTCCTTGCATTGTCTTGTAGTTTGACCACCCAAGTATGCTTCCCTAGACACTATAATTTAGTCTTGCTTTTTTTTTTTTGGTATTGCCTCTTTTTTTTTTTTTTAGTCTTTCCTGGGTTTGTTTGTTTGTTTTAAGTTTTTATTGGAGTATAGTTGATTTACAATGTTGTGTTAGTTTCAGGTATACAGCAAAGTGATTCAGTTATACACATATGTATAGCTACTTTTTTTTAAACTCTTTTCTCATTTAGGCCATTACAGAGTATTGAGTTGGGTTCCCTGTGCTGTACAACAGGTTCTTATTAGTTCTATTTTATATACAGTAGTGTCTATATGTCAGTCCCAATCCTAGGTACCATATCTTCTTTATCCATTCCTCTGTTGATGGACATTTAGGTTGCTTCCATTAGGTTGCTTCCATGTCCTGGCTACTGTAAATAGTGTTGCAATAAACATTGGAGTGCGTGTATCTTTTTGTTTGTTTTTAATAATATAATTTAATTACACATTTTTCTCATTCCCCCTCCCCTTTTTCTTACAATTACTCTGTTGAAGAACCAGGGCTATTTGACCTGAATAATATCCCCTGGTCTGGGTTTCACTGATTGCATCCTCATGGTACAGTTCAACATGTACCACTGTCCCTGTCCTCTGTACTTTGTTCAAATTGGCACCTGGATCCAGAGGATTGATTGGACTCATGTATGATCACTTTGGCAAGATTAGATGATGGTTGGTATATGCTTTTTCATCGGGAAATATGTAATATCTCTGTTTATGCCACTGACAAGCAATAATGCTAAGTGCTTAGATCCATTATTCACAGGTGATTGCAAAATGTTGAAATTCTCATTTGTCATTTGTTATGGGCTGAATGTTTGTGTCGTCCCCCCCCCCCCCCCCCCCAATATGTTGAAACCCTATTGCTCAATGTGATGATATTAGAAGGTTGGGTCTTTGGGAGGTAATTAGGATTAGATGCAGTCACAAGGGTGAAGCCCTCATGCATAGAGCTATAAGAGTCACAAGAGGGTTTGCTTCCTCTCTCTGCTCTTTTCACCATGTGATGATACAAAGAGAAGTCAACTCTCTGCAACCCAGAAGGGGGCCCTCACTAAAACCTGACTCTGCCAGCACCCTGATCTCAGACTTCCAGCCTCCAGAACTGTGAGAAATAAATGTTTGTTGTTTAAACCACTCAGTCTAAGGTAATTGGTTATAGCAGTCCTAACTGACTAAGATATCATGTCTTTTTCATTTGTCAGAAGGAATACTTTTATGAGAGAGGTTTTCCCTCATTTACTATTTGTTTACCTAGTGATGAAGACATAAAGAAGGATAAATTCTTTTTTAATTTGTTTTGCCACACCATGTGCAGCTTGCAGGATCCTAGTTCCTGGAACCTGCACCCCCCACAGTGGAAGTACAGAGTCCTAACCACTGGGCCGCCAGGGAATTCCCAAGAAGGATAAATTCTTGATTCTTTCATTTTATTTTTTTTAAACTGTACCTCCAGCCCTAATCTTTTCTTTTTTTATATATTTGTTTATTTATTTATTTATTTGGTTGCATCAGGTCTTAGTTGCAGCAGGTGGGCTCCTTAGTTGTGACTCGAGGGCTCCTTAGTTGTAGCATGCGAACCCTTAGTTGCAGCATGCAAACTCTTAGTTGTGGCACACATGTCGGATCTAGTTCCCGGACCAAGGAACGAACACGGGCCCCCTGCATTGGGAGTGTGGAGTCTTAACCACTGCACCACCAGGGAAGTCCCGAGTCTTTCATTTTATTTACCAGTTTTCAAGATAATAATTGGTTTGCTATCATCCCCTGAAAGTGACAATTAGGTTGTCTATATATATAGATAGATACAGATATATTTAGATTTTGATGGGGTTCATATTTGATGGGGTTCAATCTATTGCAATTATTATCCTTACTGAAGTTCAGATTGTCCCATCTTTAGTTAATTGGAACCTCTTCAAATCAGCTTCTTTTCTATCTGAAATAGCAAGAAGTTCAAGGCTCATTTTGTACATTTCCTGCCTTACACCTGGAATCAGCCATTTCTCCAAGAAGCACTGATTTCTTTTAGTGGGAAAAGGTATTACAATACCTTTTTCTGACAAATGAAAAAGAATTACAATCTGGACACTGGGGGTGCTCCTCAATACTGGTTTGGCCATTGTTTCTACAATTTATTTAACTAATACTTATTTAATGTTGTTCTGTGCCAGGCATTGCTCTAAGATTTTATAAATGTTTATGTATTCCTTATAACAAACCTACTATTATCCTTATTTTACAGATGAGGAAATTGAGGTACAGAGAAACTAAGTTATTTGTTTAAAGTAACATAACCGGAAAGTAGAAGAGCCAAGATTAGAATCCAGAGTCTGAGCCTTTACCCATCATGATATGCTTCCTCCCAGGTGACCTGTTTTTTAGTCATATGCCTACCCCCTGGGCCAGGGGAAAGCAAAAAGACCTTGACTAGCAGATGCACTGAGACCACCCCCCAAAAAAAACAGAAAAGTGCTGTTACCAGAAAAAGCAGGAATGAACCCTGGGAGAAAAAAAAAGTCCACTGTATCAGTTTTTTAAAAAAAACACTCTGATTCAAGATTATAAGCCCATTTTTATTATAGGCATTTCAAAGCTTAAACTTTGAAGAATTATATAAAATAATATATGATGCAGAACAAGACTCTTTTACAAAAGTTTGGGTCAATCAGAGTTTCATTACAATTAAGACCAAGTAGCCAAAAAAGAGATTAACTCCCAATAGATTAATCCCCAAAGCCACAGGA